CACCGTGGCGGGGAAAATAATTTTTGACATAATGTAGATGTTCACTACGGTTGCCCTACCAAATATTGTTGTGGTTTTGTATTTGTACCTTTCCAGCATGTCGGTGGCCGTTCTGGTCAAATCTTCCCATGTTGGTGTGTGTATTGCGTTGGGATTGTTGGTGAATGTCAAGCCGTATATTTTCAGAGCCAAGGTGTTCCGGAGCCCGGCTAAGTCAGCCTGACCCTTCCACCGTCCAAGGCCCATGATTTGCGACTTCGCAACATTTATCTTGCTTCCACTACCTTTACCGAAACGGTTAAAGGTGTGGAAGATTCTCTCAATGGAAGCCTCTGTTGAGGGTAGGAAAACAGTGTCGTCTGCGTAAGCTAGGACTTTCTGTTCTACTATGCCTTGGATCGTAGTGCCGCGAATATCCGCGTCTTGCCTGACCGCTTCCAGGAGCGGTTCCAGCATGAGCACGTAGAGGAGGGGTGACAGCGAACACCCTTGTCGCACCGATCTGGTGATTGCAAAGGTGTCCGTCAACGTGTGGTTGACTATCACCTGGCTCCTCGGATTTTTGTAGAGTATCTGCACCCAGGCTCGGAACACGGGCCCGAAGTTGTTGGCGATGAGGGTGTCGTGCATGTATTTGTGTGAGATTCTGTCAAAAGCTTTCTCCTGGTCCAAGGACAGGAGAGAGGCAGGACAGTTTTTCTCGTGCGTGTAGGTGATTATGTCTCTGATGTAGTGCGCGTGTGAGAAGACTGACCGTCCCGGCACCCCACACTGCTGGTCTGGGTGTATGAGTGTGTTTAGATGATGTTTCAGGCGGCGTGTGAGTGTTTTAGTGAGAATCTTGTAGTCGACATTAAGAAGGGATATAGGACGATAGTTTTTGATAAGAGTTTTGTCTGCGCCGTCTTTGGGGATTAGGGAGATGTAAGAGGTATTGAATTCGTCAAGAAATTGACCTTTAGCGAAAGCTTCCTCGTAGACTTTAAGAAGGAGTGGACCTAACAGGTGAAAGAAAAATTGGAAAAATTCGGCAGAAAGGCCGTCACTACCGGGAGATTTGAGAGGCTTCATGTCAGATAAGGAATTCGTAATTTCTAAAAGCGTTATGGGACTGTCGAGAGCGTCACGTTGTGCGTCGTTCAGTCGTTTGGCGTGTCGTAGAAACCGGTTCTGTTCCTGTTCGTCGGTCGCTTCTGATGTAAATAAGTCGGCGTAGTATTTGTGGAATGCTTGTGTGATTTGTGAGGGATCCGTGTGAGTGTTTCCCTCGGTGTCTGTGATCTGTTGTATCTGTCTATTGTGCTGCATGTTCTGTTCGATTGCTAGATATTGTTTGCTGGGCGTCTCTTGTGTGATTGTGTTAAGGCGTGTCCTAAGCAAGGCGCCCAGAAATCTATGCTGCATGTGTTGTCCTAGTTCAGTCTCTAAGGTCTGTATGTGTGGGTCGTGTCTGTCTGTCATTTTCGTCATTCGAATCGCAGTCTGTAGAATTTCTTCCGTTTCCCGTCTCTGTCGGTGTATGAGAGATGCTAGAAGCTGTGTTCTGGATCTAATCGTGTTCTTCAGCATCTCCCAGTGTTCTAGGTAGTTGTCGACCGGTGCGTCGTCGGTATAGAGTTGGATGATAGAAGATATTTGAGTCGTGAAGTCCGCATTCTGGAGGAGAGAGTTGTTGAATTTCCAGTGCGGAGACCGTCTGAAAGGTTGTGTGTTTGTGTTTAGTGGCTCGATGTGTGTCAGTATTGCTTTTGTGGTCTGTAAATTCTAGTGTTTCTGACAGGTGTTTGCATGTAATGATGTGGTGCGTTTTGGGGATGTATGTCCTATCTAGTCTGGCAGATCTATTGTGGGGTATGCTTTTGTGTGTGGTTTCAGATTTGTTCGGGTATTTCTGCCTGTAAGCATCTGTTAAATTAAACATGTCTATGATATTAATCAGGGTCTCCAGCTGATTCATGCCGTCCTCGCCGGCTCTTCTCACCTGCGTCCTTACCTCCCCACCAATAACATCCTCTTGAGCCAGGACGCAGTTAAAATCGCCTGCGAGGACGACATTGTGTCCTCTGTGTGCCTGCATGAGTGTGTCCTCTAAGTGTTCGAAGAATGTGGGTTGATAGTCATAGTTTGGGGGTGCATGTATGTTCACTATTGTATATGATGTTTTCGTGGTGTTCGTGATCTCTATGATGCAGATGCGCCCCCTGTCGTCTGTGTGTGTGTTTGTTATTTCCCAGTTGTCGGATGTGAGTAGTATGGCTGTACCTAATCCTGAGTGTTGTATCGATGGGCTGTGACACGCATGTCTCAGGCCCATCTGTGTGACTATCTGTTGAAAGAAGTAGGGTGTCTGGATGTTTGTTTCTTGTAAAAGAAGGAGATCAGGTTTGTGTTTCTGTATGAGAGAAACTACATGATGTTGTTTGTGCCGGAGACCCGACACATTTACACTAACAATTTTTAAACCTGTCATTACCTAAGTTACAAAATAAATGACAGTGTTGAACAATTTTAAAGATAAATAAGCACATATTGAAGAGTGTGAAAAATTGAAAGTATCCTTTGTGTTCTTGTTGTGTTACTTGTTGAGGTACTGTGTTTTACTGTCCTGACTAAAAGTGTTGCCTTCAGTTTTCTAAGAAACTTGTGAAATTGTCTTCTTCAGGGTCTTGTCCCCCTTCTCCCGGACTGGTGAAAGGGGATTCCGAGTCGTTGATGACAAGGGGTGGTGGTGAGTTTTCTGAAAATAAATTTTGTCTGGTGTTCTTTGGTGTTGCGTTTTTTGATGTGTTGCGGGCGTTGATTCTTTTGGGTGTCTGTGTGTTCTTTGATTTTTCTTCTTTTTTTTCTTCGGAGCTGCTGTCTCCTGTGCTGCTGTTTCTCTCTGCAGCTTTCCTTTTCCTGGCAATTTCCCTTTTCTCTCTTGGAGACACTACTGTCTCGAAAGGCTCTTGATTTTCATCTTCCTGGCCGGTCTGCGTCGCACTCACTTCCTGCTCCAGGATGTTGGGATTAGTTTCCCGCTCTACTAGTGGCGGGATTACTTCTACCCTGTTCTCTTCGATCTGAGAGCCTTCCTGCTCAGGGGGCTGGAGCACCTCCGAACTCTTTGAGTTAACTGTTTCTTGCTGTGGCAAGCCCGCCTCGACCTGGACGTCGACTTGGGTAGGTTTGCCACGCTGAGATGAGGTTGAGACTGAGGTTGAGATTTGGGATTGATTATCTAATTCTTTTGTTTTGTTGGCCTCTTGTGCCTTGCTCTTGTTTGTGGTGGTTGTCTTCAAAGGCGGGAAATCTTCCTCGCTTATTCGGCTTGTACGGACCGCCTCTTTTTTCATCATGTCATACATTATACATACATATATACATACATATATACAAATATTTGTATCCTATATACATACATTTCATAGCATTTAAAGGGTAGAAACGTGGTGATCATGGTGATGGAATATCGGCGATGAGTATGATGATGATTATATGCATATTACATAAAAATACAAATGCATTCATAACGTGTGAAAAAGGCATGGTGATCATGGTGGTGGCATATCGGCGATGAGGATGAGGATGATATTACTTGGGGAAACTCCCCATGCATAATTATATACATTAATACATTACAAAGTATAATAGAGAAAATGAAGGGTGACTGTGGCGATGGCACATCGGCGATGAGGATGATGATGATGCTGTGGCAAGGAAACACTTGTTCCCTCTCCGCTTTTAGAACAAACCAGAATGATGATGATGGTGGTGGTGGCATGTCGTCAATGGTGATGATGATGATTACTGAGCCCTAACATCTAGGGCATCAGGAAAAACACTTTCAATTTTGTATTTAAACATCAACATGAACAGTTCTTTCGAATAAGTTCTAAATTGGAACTTTGCAAAATTCCTGCAAGTCCAAACAAGGTATCTGTACTGTGCCAGGACCAGAAGGAGTTTGGTGTGCGTGTCCTTGTCAGATTTGGGAATATTGTTGAGAAAGATTGCTGTAAAGAGATTGGTCTGTTTGCCTGCGTGCCTGTTGATTATTTCCCTAAGAAGCGTGTGTGTTGGTTTGACTGTAGAGCAGTCGTAGAAGAGGTGGCGCTCAGTCTCCTGTATCTGCTCCCTGCACAACTGGCATTTAGCCATGCGCCCAGCGCGGTGGGCTTCTCTTTCTGTCGTGGGAGTCAGATTAAAGAGGAGCCTGAACGTGATTTCTCTGGCCCTGGCTGGTATGTGTTTGTTGTGTAGGTTTGAGAAGGTGATTGCGTAATCCGTGGTGCGAGGCGGCTGCTGCCAGTGTAGTGTTATTTTAATTTTCTCCCTGCCAAGTAGGTTTATTACCATGTCAACCCCTTCCTTTGACCATTTTTTCCCTTGTAGGGATTCTTTCAAATCTTTGGTGCATCCCTTAGAGAGAGAAATTAAAATAAAATCGCAAGGGAGATTCATAACGATACATGTACTGGATGCTCCGTTTGGGAATGCCTCCCGGGCCTAGCAAAGCCGACAGAATGTAGCAATAGCTGGCTTGTTTGTAGGCGTCCTTGCCGCTGAGGGTGATGACAAGTGCATCCGGAATGTGAACATCCGAATGCGTGTATTTTGAAGAGTCTATTTGAATAACTCGGATATAAACCATGTCAATTGTTAAATATAATGAAAAGTTTAAACTAACTTGTCCTTGAGAATTGTGGAATAAACACAGTATGGAAAGTTTGACAAAAAGTTCTCTTAAAACAACGGCACACTGATATTTTAAAGGTTCTTCACTTTAAAATTATTTACAAATTGACACATCACTATCACAATAAACATTGTATGGCACAGTTGAAAAATGATGCAATAAAAGTTAATAGCACATTTTCCGCGGATGTAATACTGAATATTGAAATTTTAAACATGAAATTTAGTAGTAAGCAAACTTCGCAACGCAACAAGGAATAACAGTTTTTTTTTTTTTTTTTTGACTACATATTTAAATTTATTTAGCTTCAAACATGTCTTGTTTATGCTGCATCAGCACTAGTCACCTCCACTTCCACACCTGGTTCGATGCTGATTAAAGTGATCTACTTCACGATTTCATTGGGACTGTGCAGGTCAATGGTGCGCTTGTGGATTCTTAACTGGTATCGATCCCAAGTCTTGGAACCTTCACCACAGGGTTTGTGTATTTCACTTGTGTTTGAAAAAGGCTGCCTGGCCGAAACGTTACGATACGTTGTGTTGTTTTGTGCACGTTTTCCTCTTTCCCACTTTGTTGAGCTTTTAAGTCAATTTTTTCTGGAATTCACCACAGGGAGTTTTGAATGGTGTAATACGCAAAATTTTAGTTGGCATGCGCACCGGCCCTTTCACGTTCTTTTCCTTAGCATATTTAATGAGGTCAGCGCACACTTTCTCCAGACTTTTCACGACCCTGCTTGTCAGGGTGATGCGAATCCTATGGATTGGTGCTTCTTCTGCTGCAGTTTTTAGAGAGCTCTCCTTGCTAAAACCAGACTCCTTGAACGACATTTTTCTGCTATCTGGCCGACTTATTCGAAAAAATAACAGCTTTTTTTTTTTGTCACCGCAATAAGGTTCTGGTCATCGTTTTTTTTTTTTTTTCAAATCGTGTGTGTTCAGTGTAGTGTTTGCATGTTTTGCTTTGTAGGTATTTGTGTACGTGTTAATTACAAATGTTGCAGTTTGTTTGTATAATGTGTGTTTGCGCCAAATCTTTTTACATGCATGGCATTATAAATACAAACATATACTTTACAGTTTCTTACTGTATTTGAGATAACTTTGTATGCATACCAATTCAACAAAATAATCTTTACAGTTACTTACTGTAAATTGAAGTATGTTACACACTTAAATGCAATTTGGACATAATCAAATACAACATAAATGTTAAAAAATAACAGCTTTGTGTCCCCTGTTATGTAACGATAATAAATCACCCAGTACCTGTGAAAGTTGTAGAGGTTGTAGTCAGTAGATGTCTCCAAAACCATACACTATCTTCCTTGTTATTGATTAATATTCGGCCGTATTAACGGCGACAAAAATATTTCTATCAACGTATAATTAATGTTGTAGAAGTACACTATGAAGAGGAGCATGCAGTTATTCGATCACAATTTGGCACATGATAAACCAAAGCTGCATTAGCAATTAATTTTATTTTACAATATAAGATACAGATATTTAGATCGAACAGCAAATTTTTAAAATTTTAAACAATTTGATTTAGAGACTTAGTTGGATACATTTAAAATTAAAAAACACTACTAAATTGTTTTAAAAACTGTGGCAAAAACTACGTTCCATCTAAGAACAGATTACTTTAAAAGTTGCTTCCCTTAGTAAGAAAAAACTGACAATTGTTATATCCCTTAAATAATTTTGGACTAGCACACTGTTTATGTATAAGTGGCTGCGTGGTCTTGAGGCAAGGCGTCTGCTTCGAGTGCTGGAGGTCCCGGGTTTGAGCCCTGGTAAAGGCTGGGATTATTTCATGTGTGATCAGACGCCTGTGTGAACTGCTCCGCACGTTAAAAATAATCACTTAGCAGTTGAAAATAGAAAAAGAATAGCTTAACGGCGATGCTCGGGCAAAATTAAAGTTAAAAATCTTCCTTAGGTATAATTTAAACATTAAAAATAAAAAAACTCACAGATCCCCAGCATCAAAAACGAATGGTCCCCCACCTTTCTTCCTGCACTCCCCAGTCCTTTTCTTCCTCCCTTTCTCATTTTCTGTCAAATGTTGGTGAGATGTGAGGTCAGTTTAAATTTGCCTTATTATCACACCCTTAATTTGATTTTCTCAAGTCTGTAAAAAATTTATTAACGATGAAATAATATCATCATCAGCACCATCAAAACAGGTTACCAACACCACCAACAAATAATCATCTATAGCTCTCCTTTCCTTACCTGCTATCTATTTATGTCGCTTGCTTTGTTCTACTCTCTTTCAAATGTTGGTGGAATACAGGTACCATGTTATCATTTTTTTGCCATTTTTTTTTTTTGTATTCGTAAATGTATATGAAAAATTTTAAACCATGTTTTCATCCAATAAACATACTTTTAAAAAAAATAGTTTGTGTGCTGCGCTGAGATTTAGCCCGCAATATAGCCTGGCCATAAATATGGCCTAAAGGCTGAACGCGGTTTCTGGGACCTCTCCACGGTGATCCTCACACACATGGTGGCACTTTGTGTCATTGGATGTTCATCGCCTGTGTGATGTCTTGATGTGGTAGTAAGTAAATCACTCAGTCAGAGTGAGTGAGTGAGTGACTTTCTACCCCACCAGGACATCACACAAGCAATAAACACCCGATGACACAACGTGTCACCATGTGGATGAGGATCACCGTGGAGAGGTCCCAGAAACCGCGTTCAGACATTTGGCCATATGTATGGCCTGCCTATATTACGCCCCTGGCAAAAGCCAGAGTAGGGCTTCAAATAACAAAAAATTACGTCCTGAAAAGGACGTAGCAATGCAAAATACTCAGTCAGACGCGACACTGAAGGGTTGGACGACCTGTCCTCTGGCGAGACTAGAGAGTAAAATGCTAAGAGAGCCTTTTCCTATCTATCTTCTTTTACCCCACCAGGACATCACACAAGCGATAAGCACCCAGTGACACAAAGTGCCACCATGTTGATGAAGATCTGCCATGGAGAGATCCCAGAAACCGCATTCAGCCATTAGACTATATTCTAGCTAAGAATACTTTAGCAATAAAAGTGGTTTCCCTTGACTCAAAAAAAAAAAAAATAGGGAAATTGTTATGTCCCTTAATTTTTTTGTTTTGTTTTTTGTTTGGAACCATGCTAAAGACGAAAAAGCGTGACTGCCAAAGTTGATACCTTCGTACAAATTAGGTAGCATTCGACCTCTGCCGAGCAAAATTATACTTTTGGTACCCGGCTGGGTGTTGTGATACGTTTTAGAAATTTTTCATCAATATATTTAGTGTTGCCAATTATTTTAATCTGGCTTAATCGCCTTTTCTACATTTTCACCCATACTATACATGCAAATAGTTGAATTCCTTTTCACAGTTTCATGCATCTGCCATGACATTTGGTGCAGGAATTATCATGGTCATGTCTCCAATCACTAGCAGTGTTCTGCAGTTCCTATCTGTCACTGGTTTGAGGTAGACTTCTGTACATATGTGAAAAGTGAATTAACAAAGCAAAAAATATTTTCGAAACTAAACATTCTGCCATGCCTAGCCTCAAACCCAGTCTCAGGTGGTGACACAGTTTTCCAGGTTTATTTTCTGGCACGGATTGGCACAGTCACATTACAACATCGGCACCCACACCATTTGAGCTTTCTTTGCTTGAGAGAAGTCACAAAGAATATCATCGGGTGTAGTTTGGACCCATATCTTGATTACCCAAGGATGAGGTTTTCTTTCGACATATTGTTTAATTTTGCTAAAATTACCTCCGAAGGGCACTATCATGTCATTCATGCTGTTACACTCCTCTGATCTTCCACAACTTTTCCTCTTCTTTTACTTCAATATTGTCAACAATTGAATAGTTGGCAACAGCGTCTGGAAGCGATTCCTTGTCGATATATCTGCTACAGACCAATATAAAGTGTCTGTTGCCCAGCAGCATCGTGTACCAGCCACTTTCCCAAGACCCATCCTGAAGAATATTTATCTGAACTGATCAATTTGTATTTAAAGATATGCAATGTACACTGAAGAGTAGAGATTAGTCATATTGGTGAGAATGTAGATTATGTCAAAAACTCACGGAAAACGTCAGAGAAGATTGAACTTTATAATTTTCTGACAACTCAAAACGTTTCCACATAAATGATGAATAAGAGGGTCAAAGTTTTGTTTTCTCCAAATTTGTGCTGATCTCTTTGAAGAGTTTGGAGTAGTTGGTGCAGACTCGCCATCATCTAAAGATGGATGTCTTGAAAACCATCTTTAGCTTCAGACACAACATCTTCTGCTTCATTTAAAGAATCACTAACTAAATCCCTCTCATTTGCATCAGTGTTGTCCAAAATGTGTACAGCCTGCTGAGCTCTGAAATGAGATATGCACTTTTTCTGAGACGTTATTCTGTGAAACACATAAAAACAATTATTAGATATATAACAAACATAGTATCAAACATTACTTTTCGAAGAATGCTATTTTCAGTTTGCAAAAAAACAAAAACAAAATTAAAAACCTAAATTAGTTTATCAGTGAATAATATTATTTTTAAAGAAAAGCACTGTTCAGTAAGAATTATGAGCACAAACTGGTGTAGTTCAAGAGTGAAAAAGCATTGTTGAGTAAGAATTATGAACACAAACTGGTGTAGTTCAAGAGTGAAAAAGCATTGTTGAGTAAGAATTATGAACACAAACTGGTGTAGTTTAAGAGTGAATAAATACTGTTCAGTAAGAATTATGAACACAAACTGGTGTAGTTTAAGAGTGAATAAATACTGTTCAGTAAGAATTATGAGCACAAACTGGTGTAGTTTAAGAGTGAATAAGCATTGTTCAGTTAGAATTAAAAACACAAATTGGAGTAGTTTAAGAGTGAATAAATACTGTTCAGTTAGAATTATGAACACAAACTGGTGTAGTTTAAGAGTGAATAAATACTGTTCAGTTAGAATTATGAACACAAACTGGTGTAGTTTAAGAGTGAATAAATACTGTTCAGTTAGAATTATGAACACAAACTGGTGTAGTTTAAGAGTGAATAAATACTGTTCAGTTAGAATTATGAACACAAACTGGTGTAGTTTAAGAGTGAATAAGCATTGTTCAGTTAGAATTAAAAACACAAATTGGAGTAGTTTAAGAGTGAATAAATACTGTTCAGTAAAAATTATGAACACAAACTGGTGTAGTTTAAGAGTGAATAAATACTGTTCAGTAAGAATTATGAACACAAACTGGTGTAGTTTAAAAGTGAATAAATACTGTTCAGTAAGAATTATGAACACAAACTGGTGTAGTTTAAGAGTGAATAAATACTGTTCAGTAAGAATTATGAACACAAACTGGTGTAGTTTAAGAGTGAATAAATACTGTTCAGTAAGAATTATGCACAAACTGGTGTAGTTTAGGAGTGAACAAGCATTGTTCAGTAAGTTTAAGAAACTGGTGTAGTTTAAGTGAATACATGTTCAGTAAGAATTATGAACACAAACTGGTGTAGTTTAAGAGTGAATAAATACTGTTCAGTAAGAATTATGAACACAAACTGGTGTAGTTTAAGTGAGTGAAGTTCAGTTAGAGTTATGAACACAAAACTGGTGTAGTTTAAGAGTGAATAAATACTGTTCAGTTAGAATTATGAACACAAACTGGTGTAGTTTTAAGAGTGAATAAATACTGTTCAGTTAGAATTATGAACACAAATTGGTGTAGTTTTAGGGTGAATTATGAACACAAACTGATGTAGTTTAAGAGTGAATAAATACTGTTCAGTTAGAATTATGAACACAAACTGGTGTAGTTTACAGAGTGAATA